CCGGGTATCCCACCTCGGAGCCCGCGGCGTAGCAACCGCAAGGGCTTGACTGTGCGCTTTGTGGACCAGAAACCCGACATCATTGGCGAAGGTGGTGATGAATCGGAGATCCCAGCCATTGAGGTATCGAGGCGCAGGAAGCAGCGACCCCCGCCGTCTCCACGCCATACACCCGTGGCTGCTGTTCACGACTCCCCGCCGAGAGCGCCCTCGGCACCGAAAGAGGACTCAGACTTCATGCCTGGCCGCTTGCGAAGAACACAAACGGGCTTCTCCTCTGTCGGCACCGAGCCCGCCGAGCCCAAAGAACCCCCTCCGGCTTATAGAGAGGTGGCACCGGGTAATGCAGTTTCAGCGCCATTCCTAGATACCCCGACTATCGCGAAGAACGAGAATCGGAAGTCCTTCATCGAGCACCAACAGGCAGAGATGCGACAGGCAGAGGGTAAGGCATTTGCAGAGGCCGCACGCCAAGCTGAGCGGGAGGAGCATGGAGGCCAAGCGCCTCTCGCACCACAGATAATCGAATCTCCAACTAGATCTCCAGTGCCGCCTAGCAAGGTACCCCTCCAACCGAGATCCCCAGATGACTACAGAAAGCCTCCCGACCAGAGCCCCTCATCCATCTATTCGAGCAGCACCGAATTCAGCCAACAACAGAACACAGCTGCCAACTTCTCTCGGCAGCCGTCTGTCAACTCCCAGTATCACATGGCGCCCCCGTCTGCAACAGTCGCCTCGAGACAGGCATCTTTCAACTTGCATGATGCGGTCCTTGCTGTTGGTGATGACGCTCTCAACACATTCGTCACCCGAACCCGCCACTTCAATGAGCTTTTCAGACTGCATGCTGAGACAATCAAGCCTATTTCAGCCTGTTCACCGCAAGAGCTGGCACGCGCAGCACTGTGGTGGCTCATCAAAGGACGTACGGCATTGGAGATTGCAGTTCGCGCACAACCTAGTAGTCCCCAAGACCAGATGCAGAACGAAAATGATCGTCAGCAGGCGTATGCCAACCTCTCCAAAGGCTACTGGTTGGTGGAGGAAGCCATCCCTGAGGTGCAGGAGAACACGCGCCTTGCATCCGACCCAGGCATTAATGAGATCCGCTCAATATTGGTCGGCACTCTTAAGAAGCTTTGCGTCTCAATGAAGAGAAACGGATCTCTTCCGCCTGAGGAGGCGTTCTTGCCCCAGACTATCGACAAGTCTATCTGGCTTGAATATCCCAGACTGAGCGTTGACATGATTGCGTTACTCACTGCTGATTCATCTGCGGCCATGACTGGTGTTGTTCGCACTCCCTCTGCTTTCGAAATTCTGGAGACTCTGCCCCCTAATGATACGGCTGAGAACTTCACATTCGGCAGAATCAGCACGGACGTGTTCTTGATGGAACAAGGCATGGACTCTCAGAGATTCTACTTCCCTTGTCTCTTGACTATGGTCCGACCTAACAAACAGCACAACCTGGTCTTTGTTATCGCTAGTCAACACGGAGAGGTCAACCTACGAATTCAAGGAAACAAAAACTCTGGCCCAACCTGGGACGATGTCCGCTGGCGCAATCAAACCAACTCACTCGAGATCAAACTGCCCAGAGGCTTCATGATCGTGGTTCAGTGCTCACATGCGGACTACCGAAATCTGTGGAACATGTACGATTTTGGTGCCCAGGTTCAGTCGACCCTTTATGCTCGATCCGACGAGCACTGCGTTTTCCGCTCTACCCTTCGGTCATTCCAGTACTTCGACTCAAATCCTAATGCCCGGGCGTTTCCCAAGGAACCCGTGGCAAATTGCGACGTGGCTCTGTTTGAGAAGATTCATAAGGAGCATGCTGCTGCAGGCCCACGCGCTTACCATAGGGGGTACAGAATCGTCGTGGTGACAGGCCCTCGCACAAGAACACTCAGTGGTGTCAACCACACCTACACGCCACAGATGCCAATCCCCTTCAGTTTCCTTAGGTCGGATGGAGGTGATGCGGCCTTGATGCTCAAGTACGACAACAGTAACCCGGATCCGAAAAAGCGCGTAAAGGTGAGCATGGTGCTCTCGTTCGGTGACGAGGGGGAGCGGGCCCAGCTCAACAGCCTGATTTCCGGCACTTCTGTGCAAAAGGATGAGACGATTTATGCAGACGTGCCCCTGATCGGATTCTCCATGTCGACTTCTTTGCGGGATAGCAAGTATCTTCCGGGCGTCAGCCAGATCCCCTGGACATCCCTTCGAGTCATCAACGAAGATGCCGATGACGACTATCCTCGGACAGTTCTAGCCGACAGGCTGAGAGTTATCGTCGAATCTAAACAGGGCTTACTCACTGATCGAGTGAACCTCCAACCCGGCGAATTGCGAGTGAGGCTCGAGGTTCAAGAGACCAAGTCCCTCGTGGTGATGCGCCAGCCGCAGTTCGACATGACTGCAAATGTAGCAGACGGGACTGTTGGCAAAGAGATCCCCAAGGCTATGACCGAAATGCTCGAAATGCTGCAGACGACTCAAACAATTCGCACTTACAGCTTCCCAACTCAGAAAGATCTCCATGCTTTCCAGGCTGCATTGACTGGATTCAGAGTCATCTTCGACGGCCTCGCTGCTACCTTTGCAATTTCTCGACGAAGAATGGTGGTTCCCATTCACAAGAAGTGGGAGGCGGGATTGACTCGAATCCAAGTGGTGCAACAAGGCACAGTCATGCAGCTCCTCGCGTTCTTCCCAGACTTTCACCACGGCCAGTGTATGAACTTCGTTTTGAAAGGCACGGATGTATACGAGACGTTTTCGAGAAGCAGCAAAGCTGGTATCAAGTTTGTTGACGCCAAGTTCCCCATGCCGCGTATGCCCAACGGCACCGACGGACCGTCGGACGACATGGGATTCATCTGCCTGGACCTGCCGGACCTGCCGGGTGAACACGACGACATCACGCTCGTCTTCGAAAACGAAGCGGGTAAGTTCTCCCTTTGCCGAATGGACTCGGACTCATGCTAACTCCCGAACAGAACGCCACCGGCTGACGCAGTGTCTACCGGCCACCGTCAAGGGTTCCAGGTCACTGAGAGGCCGATAGACGAAGCCCATAGGGACCCCTCGAATTGACGAGTGACGAGCTGTGCGAAAAGCGAAGAATTATCCAAAGCATTGTCGTGGTTGGAAGCAAGGTCTGGACATTCGAAAAACAAGATACCCATCAGTCGGTTCATCACATTGCTTTACAGACAACGAATAGCGAGATAGGAGGGATGAAGGAAGCATGGGGACGGAAAAGGGCAAAACCCGCAGCCTGAAGATGGCGGGTGGATTTGGCACTTGTTTATACCGAGATGACAACTGCCTAGGTACTCGGATATTGTGGCAGGTCTGGCCGGAAGACCCGGGACAGCCGCCATGGGTCGCGAGGCTAGGCATCGTTGAGAGCCTCTCCAGGGAGGCCTACTTTTTTTGTGGTTTTAGGCGGACAAGCAACAGCTCGACCAGATCATCAGGGTTTGGACACTTTTTTGCTGCCTGTCAGGAAATCATGTTGGTTGTAGAGCAAAGGGCTGGCATAAAAGCATGCGCTTACGAGCAATGTGCCTTAGGTAGACAGGACAGCAGCTTGACAATGATACGCGTATCAAGTGACATATGAAGTGTGTCCGACGCATACGATGGTGCGGAAAAAACGCGAGTGACATGGACCATGATATCTTTGTGGGCCATTCTCTAATGAGCTGCACGGAAGTAAAGCTGTTCGTTCAGTGGTCCGACTGATTGGAACGTCGCGGATCTCTTGGTCAAAAGACGTGGGACTTTGGGGGTATGAGGTCTTGGTCTACAACTGGAAGTGGTTAATATTGCTTGGAAGTAGCAGCACTGCCACAATTGACCTGCATAATGGGGGTGAGATGCCTGGGCATGCCAATCATCTAGGCAACTCGGTCTTGTTGAGATGTTGTTCGGTGTGTTCTCCTCTCCATCTTCAACTTGGATGCATCACAAATTTGGGCAATTATCATCTCTGTAGATTATTTTCAATGAATTGATACTAATGACTTGGCTAAATGCTTTCCGCGCATACAAGGGACGATGAACGACTATCGCGAGATGAACAATGCCCTCAAGATTGATACCGCATAAATGTCAATAATTAGTACCCTGCAGCAGGGTGCACCGCGTGGTGGGTTGAGGGATTCATAGCATTTGAACAGAAGGGGGAGTCGCTCATTGATTGATTGGCTTGTGAACAGGAGCCGGCGGGCATGTGATTGGGTGCAGAGTAGCACAGCATTTGGCGGTATTGGACATGGGATGGGACGGAAGGAGGGGGGAGAAGCTGGGGTGACCGACACTTCCCGTGCGAACAGATGCGGATGCGCGGGTTTGGCATCTCGATGTTCTGCTCTTCCCCCGTCCGTTGGCACTAATTATGGGAAGCATTGGGGAAGTGCAGATGAACACCTTAGTTTCGAGTGACTCTTCGTCGGGTTTGTCGGGCCATTTTAGGCTTCTTCTTGGGTATCATTGCACCAGACTTCAGAGATGATGACAGCTTTGGGAGCTCCTAGGGCGATTCAGGCAAGGTGAGCATGGTAAGGCAGGTAGTTAGTGGTGCACGGAACTAATACATAAGACATGATGGCATTGGGGAAATGGACGAAAAAAAGTTTCCCACCTCAGTGAATGACGCGACGTCATCACCCCTCCTCCGTCCTCCGTTGTGGGGTTTACACCAGGCGACGTAAGGACTGCATGGGAGCCCAGGCCATCGGCGACTTTGGTGAGGTGCTGACCAGCTATCATAGGTAGGTAGGTAGCTAAAAAGCTGCTAAGGCAGGTAGGTAGCTTCCGCCTACGACCATGCCCAAAGTTGCCTCGCCTTGACACCAATCTGCTCTCACCATCAATCATTGCTACGGAATCTACCAGGCCATCGTCATCTTGTGTCACAAACCATATTGTACACGGTCTTGTGCTCCTTCTTTTCAACTTCTGACATGGGAAATCATCTTTTACCTCAGTCTCATCTCAAATTCCGGCCGTTCCTTGGTTAATCAGTAACCTGGAACAGCTACCTACCTTTATCGACCTTCATCTGACCTTCACCTGACCTTCACCTCACCCTTTCCTCTTCGCCCGGCCTCTTCCTGGTTGGCGCCCATTCACCCTTTTCTCCATTCTCCTTTCTACAGCTCTGGTTTACGTTCCAGCCCAGGTTGTAAGAGGCGGCAAGGCAAATCGAAAACAGCAAGCGAGTGAGACATCGATAGGTCATCTTTTCTCCGCCAGTGCCCCTTCGCCAAGCGGGCCTCTCTCTCTTTCTTCGCTTCTCCAAGCTCAACATCATTAAACCCGATTTCTTTCTTTTCCCACTTTTGCATCCGACGGATACGTTCCCAACCTTCATCCTCCCGACGCTTCCTTCACCAGCAAGCCCCTTGCCCCAGAGAAAGTCAAACCATCTTCGGCTTTGTCGACCACCAACTACTTTTATCACGTCAAGTTCCCACAAAGTCCACTGTTCAACTGCTGCCACTCTTCTCTCCCCTCCCTCTCGCTCGACTACGTACCGGGCTGCGAGGCCCCATCCTTTACTTAGGTTACCGACTCTACCCCTACTTGCAGCTTCAAGCAACACGCAGACGCCTTTTAGGGGAGCACTACCCCTCATTCCAGCAAGAAGGCACATTCCGGGCACTGCGCCGATAAGACCGATAGCGGTCTGAAAGACAACTGAGGGGCATCGCTGCACCCACAGCCCACCAAGAGCCAGTCGCAGTCATGGGTCTGGTCCATGTGCCAGGAAGACGCTCCAGAGCGTCCAGCCTCAGTGAGTCTTACCAGCCCTAGCGTCACTGCCTGGTCCAGTGTTCTGGATAATAGCAGTCGTCTCCTCCTCGCCGCGCCCTTGTGGTCTTCATACAGCGACAAACTCGCGCCCATTCTTACACCCTTTTCACCTTACATACCCTTACGGCCTGTTGCCCATCTCCCTATACCCTGCTTGCTTCCCTAGTCGCGTACCTTGGCTTTGGCGTCTTCCGGGAGCCGAAAAGCCTCCACCTCCACTCTCCAAACCTCTGCCGTGCGCAAATCGAGAAAAACAAAAGTTGCCTTCAACCATGCTGACCTCTTGGCTTTCCAACCCACCAGCTAGCAATCGCTCAAGCGTCGACGAGGCCAGGGGTGCTGCCGAAGATGACGACACCACTGTGGTCGAGGCCGATCAGGGCAACGGTGAGTGAAGCCTTTGCGAGATCCGTTGCGCCCGCATTTGGCTGCTCGCGGGATGCTTCACGCGCACTCGGCTAACATGGGGTCCAGTGCTCGGCCACATCATTTCCCAGCTTCGCCCTGGAGCTGATCTGAGTCGCGTTGTTTTGCCGACCTTCATTCTGGAGCCTCGTAGTATGCTCGAGAGAATTACAAAGTCAGTAATCTCCGGGAAAGACGCGGGATCTGGGGCCTCCTTCGCTGACTATGTGTGTTTGTCGTAGCTTCATGTGCCACCCCGAAATGCTCCTCCCTATACCCGAGATCGACGACCCAGTACTACGATTCGTTTCCGTTGTCAAGTTCTACTTGAGTGGATGGCATATTAAACCACCGTCAGTCCTTCCGAGCTACCCGTATAAGTCGTACACATTGCTGACATTTACCCAGAGGAGTGAAGAAGCCCCTGAACCCGATCCTCGGCGAGGTTTTCTCCTGCTACTGGGATTTGCCCGATAACACGAGGGCATACTACATCTCCGAGCAAACGTCGCATCACCCTCCCAAGTCCAGCTACTTCTACATGGTCCCCGAGCACAACATTCGCGTTGATGGCACACTCAAGCCCAGGAGCAAGTTCCTCGGAAACTCGGCGGCGAGCTTGATGGAGGGTACAGCGGTCTTGTCCTTCCTTAATAGGGGCAAGGACAAGACCAAGGGCGAGCGATAGTATGTTGGGCTTGGAAGCTACTTAGGATAGGAATACGCTAACCACGAGACCAGCATCTTGACGCAGCCAAACATGTACGCCCGAGGCATTCTCTTTGGAAAGATGAAGTATGAACTTGGAGATCACAGCTTTGTCCGGTGCCCAGAACTCGACTTGGTCGCCGACATTGAGTTCAAGGTGAAGGGCTGGGTCAGCGGTACCTATAATGCGATTGGCGGCTCAATCAAGCACGAAAGCACAGGCGAAGTTCTCTACGAACTGTCAGGCTTTTGGAACGATGAGATGTTTGTCAAAGATGTCAAGGTAGGCTCGGCATGCTGCTGCAGTTATGACGCGTCGCTAACAGCCTCAGACTGGTCATAAGGAGATGTTCTTCAACGCCAGACGATCGAAGCCCAGCAGTCCCCTGGTGCGGCCTATCGAAGAGCAGGATGAGCGCGAGTCCCCGAAGCTTTGGGCACCGACAGCTCAGGCTGTGAAGGATCGCAACCATGAGCTTGCGACGGAGGAGAAGACCAAGGTTGAAGATAGACAACGTGAGGAACGTGAGACCAGAGCTCGCGAGGGCGTTGAATGGAAGCCTAGGCTTTTCAGGGCCGTTCAGGGCGGCCCGGGTGGGCCTGAAGAAGGCGAGGAAGAGTTGGAGTGGATCATCAACGCTCACATGTTAGTATTTACAATTTTTACGTTGACCAAAACATGCTGACGCAAAGTAGCGACCACACGAGCCCAGAGAAGCAGACCGAACAGATCTTGGCCATATACCCTATTCTTCCGGGGCAGAAGCCTTTTACGGCAAACGCCATTCCTCCCCATCAGCCCTCGGCAACAACAGAGGCCCCGGCCCCGACCCCAGTTCCGGTCGCTCAGCAGCATGATGGAGGGAATGATCTGATCGATTTCAGCGACGCGTCAGCTATCACCCCGACGGCCCCAACTGCGACTGCGCCTGCGGTTCAACCACCAAGCGGTACTCCTCCGGCCGCTCAGGAGGCGCGGAGTGGATCCAAAGACATTGAAGGTATACTCAACAGCACCGGAACGCAGGCAAAGGAGGGACCTTTGATGGACTTTACGGACATGAAGAAGAGCGTGCCGCCGCTTAAGAGAGCCGATGAGAGCAACGACAGCTTCCATGACGCTTTGGAGTAGGTTAGAGCCAAGCTAATCTAGGACGCACGTCCCTCTGGTTCTTCTCCCACCCATCCATCTGGCAACCCCTTTGTGTCAAACATCACTTTCATTCACCATGGGAGGCGGACCTCTGGCTAGAGAGGGAGGAAGAGGGGAGAAGGGGGCCGGTCGGGGGGGGTAACAAATTATAAATATTTTGCATTGGCGAACATTCGGGGAAGGGGGTTGGTAGAAAAGGGATAACTCTGTAGATATGTATAGCATTGCTTACTGCTCAGTAATAACGGCATTCAACTGCGGAAGTTTTGGACATGAGTCACTGTCAGTATCGAGGCAAATATCGAGGCAAAGGTTGATAATGACGACGACGACGATACAGGGGTTGTAGTGGCTCTTCGATTTGGAAGCACTACCTATTCTCACATGCTTTGTTACATGATGCTCTGACCTTTCAAGAGTTTCTCCCATAGAACCCCAACCCATCCTGGAAACGCCATAAACGCCGCTCTCACCCTTCTTTTTTGGTTCGTCTTCCAATCCCCCCGTTGAGACGGGTACGGGGGGTGGGTATCAAATTCTCAATTTCTGGGGGTTCGCCTTCCACTCTCTCTCCCTTCCTCAACCTTCTGCTGATTAGATTTGTCGTGATGTGACACGGGACGTCAATACCCGGCGCTCCAGCCTGAGATGTCGCCAGACAGTCTGTTCTGACCGAATGAGAAAAGGCAACAGAGCTCCACTCCCGGGTCCATCACTTTTCGTATCCCTTTGACGTGGCCCTTTCCCCCACAAACGACGACCACAAGCTTTCGAACAATGCGTAGCCGACAGACAGCTCGATCCATCTTTCTTCACCCAAGCTCCCTTTCTCTCTCTCTAGTACCGACGACGCGTGGGTTCGGGGGTAGGCGAGCGCGATGGGCTCCTCTCGTCGCGGCCGCGGTCCTTGAGCCACTTCTTGGTGCTGAGGGTGAGGTCGCGGTCGAGGTCCTCGGACGGGTTCTTGCGGTGGATGAAATTGCAGAAGCCGCCGCGGACGCAGCCCTCGCCCGAGTTGAGGCGGCAGCAGGCCTCGCGGAAGTCGGTGACGGGGGAGAGCTCGCAGTATATAGGGCGGGCGGCGTACCACCGCGAGTTGAGGTCGTCGCAGGCCTTTTGGGCAGAGTCTTCGTATTTAAAGCGGGCGTAGACGTTTCCTATAAGGTCTTGTTTTTTCTTTTGTGTTAGTAATTTGATCTCTCTCTCTCAACAATCTCAATGAGGAAAAAACAAGGAGAAGACGCACGATCATTGTTATTGTCACACACGACGAGCTCCTCGAGCTCGCCGTACTTGCAGAGCTCGCACCAGATGTCCTCGTAAAAGGCGTCAAAGTGGTTCTGCAGCTGGGACGGGTTCATGCGGTTTTTGGGGTCGTAGGCCGGGTTCTGGTAGAGGTTGGGCATGAGGATGGTCTGCGAGTAGCTGGGCTTGACGTGTTTTCTCGAGCAGCGGTCGCCATGGCGGCAGGCGCCGATTTTGAAGTAGAAGGAGCAGTTGACCTTGTCGAGCTCTGTGCCGAAGATGGAGGCGAGGAAGTTGGCCATGTTTGCGGTTTTCTATTCGCGAGGGTTTCGAAATCTAGGCGTTATCGTCTGTTTTGATGATCGGAGTGCTCGATTGATCGTCGGGAGGGGGACAAAGTGCGATTGTCTCTTTGGCGGCCGCGTTTGTTGGATGGAGCTGTGGAAACGGGCTTTGCTTGCGTCGCGACAAATACGACGGACCAGAGGTTGGAATTTCTAGCAGCCTCGCGAGCGCCACGACGATTAGTAATGTTGAGGCTGAAGCTCTGTCTGTGGCGGGGATCTGTGGCTAGAAACATGTGGCTCAAGCAGTGGTGGGTTCCAGGTGGTTCTTGCTTCTGGAACCCCACTGATTGATTTCAGGGACTGGAATAAACAGAGTACGTACCGGCGTTGCGAGCCGATGGTCTAGAACGTTTTTTCTACAATTGTTGTTTCTCCTTGTTGTTGTGGAATCCAAACATTCCCAAGGTCAGCCTTACAACGGCTTTTTCTCATTCCAAGTCTAGACATTGGCCGCGATCGATGGTAGATTTCGATGTCCTTTTCATCTAGAACGACCATGGAAGCTTAATAACACGCAAAACGCCTTGTTTGAATCCATTGCAACGCTGGCTGTCGTAACTTGCTTCTCGAGCTACTCGTTTGAAACACTGGGTTCTCCTCAACCCAATGAAGCCGACTGAAGGATCGTCAGATTGGTCTAATGGAATGATATGGAGTGAGGACCGGCTTCCAGATTTGTTTGTGCGTCTGCCCAACTGAATGATGTTCTGCCCACCGCAACTGAAGGTTCACTCATCCGATGATGATGACTTGTCGACAGAAGTCAAAACTCCGAGTTGAACAGTCAAACCTCAGGGTCACGAGACCACACCCCGATGGAGAATCAACAAACACGCGCTTCGCTGAGTGATTTCATTAAGGTTCATTCCGAGAGATGATGAAAATATACACGGTCTCCGGTGGGAAGGCATGGTGAAACCAGTCGTTGGACGCGCTATCTCACTTGCCGACCAGTCGCCGCAGTCCCGCCGTCCCAGACTCCCAGTCACCAACTCTCGGACTCGAAGCCAAGCAAATCCCCCCCAAAATCCACTAAAACACCCCCGAGAAGAGAGGTGGAGCAAAGAACACCAGGCCGTGCTGTGCCATTGGTGCAACACCGGCCAACTGGTGTGAAAGTGAACCCCCAAACGGCCCAAAATCAGTTGGAGGCTTGCTGGGATCCTCCCCGTTGTCGCTGCATCTGTGCTTTCCCACCTCCTGCAGGACATGCGCAAACTTCCCGCCCGTGCGCATCTAACGCGGGCCAAAGTCAACACATCTGGTCTGTTGCTTCGACAGCCCTCGCGCACACTCTCCCCTCTACCGTCCCCTTCTCTCCCCTTTTTAGTGTGTACGAATAATTTACACCACCCTCACAGTCCTTCCTTGACCCTTCTGTGTACACTATTTTCCCCTTGTCGACGGAACATCCTAAAAATCTTTTTTTATACCCACGATCGACGCCATTCCCTCCGTCCACATTTGCGAAGGATCTTCAGAGAAGCTTCTGCCCGTGTTCCATCTTGCTTGACACGGACCCTCTTCCGCCCATCCTCGAGATCTTCCGTCCGACACCCTTTGCCTTATATACCCCGAACCGAGCGCTCTCTCTCTTTCTCAGCAGTGGGCCATGACTACGACGGACGCGACTCTGTCTTCCATCTGCTGACGACCTTCTGCTCGACACCCGGTCACAGCGCCGACACTCTTTCTTCCCGACCCGACCCTGTACATACCTTCTCGACGCAGCTACCATGGATCAGGCCGATATCCCCGCGCTTCTGTCGCGCCTCGCGAGCGACGAGGACGCCGCCAGGAAAATGGCCGTCTTCAAGCTGCAATCCTCCATAAACGATCCTGCCTTCGCCGACGTCTTCATATCCTCGGGAGGACTAGTCATACTACGACGCCTGATTATGAGTGCGGGAGGAAATACGTTGGCGTACTCGCTGCAGAGTCTGACGCGCCTTTTGGAGGTCGACATGGGCTGGGAGATATTCGAGGGATCAGCGTCAGGGGATCTCGTGGAGCGCATTGTCGAATTGATCGTTACGAACCCTCTTGTCAACATTTTGCGCGGTGCCATGTCGATCCTGGTCGCCCTCGTCGGCCACACACAGTCGTCCCGCCCGACGACCCCTCGCACCCCAGGTTCCTTTGGTTTCAGAGCCCTGAAGCCCGCCGTCGCAGTCTACCCGCAGTTCTTTGAGCTTGTTATCGCCCAGCTCCAGTCCGCCGACCACGCGCTGTGCGCCAATGCCCTCATGCTTATCAATGCCATGATCCGCGACGCTGTATCCAGTGACACCAGTATCACAAAAGCGAACAGCCCTGCAATGGAGGAGTGGTCAAAGTTCATCAAGCGCTTGCAAGATCTCGGTCTCATCAAGGCCGTGTACAACCTGATGCAGAGCTCGTCACTACAGGATCTCGCGCATCCTCTGCTTGAGTTCCAGTCCTTGACCAAGGTTCTGCTGAGAAAGTGGCGGGAGGTGAGGGTTGATCTCGAGCGGCCCGAGCACAGACGGGGACTGAAGGGACTTCACCTTGCCAGCAACCCGGAGAAGCAAGTCAATGGCATTCACCGATTGGACGAGCTCAACGAACTTGGGAAGAAGGGAAGCCGGCGTCATAACCCTGAGAAATGGAGGAGACTGGGCTTCGAAACTGAAAGTCCCACGCAGGAGTTCGAGGTCCCCGGCTTCCTGGGCATGATGGACTTGACAGACTACGTGCGGAAGAACGAGGACAGCTTCCAGAAGATGCTGCTGGAGCAATCCACGAAACCAAGGAACGAAAGGTGCCCAGTCGCCAGGGCAAGTCTCGCGGTCACGATGATCCTGTACGATCATTTCGAGGTGGAGAAGTCGGATGTTGAGGACATTAAGGGTTACCAAGGCTTGGACGGTATTAAAAACAACGAAAAGCTATTCCGTCCGCTCCTCCTCCAGTGGTCGCGTCTTCACACCGCCGGGCTGCAAGCTTTCTTCCGCGTGTGGAAGTCCACTGCCGCAGAGCACCTAGATTTCGAAAAGGTGGCAGAGCTAGTCCGAATCCTCATCGAGCAAGTTGTCGGCCAGGCAAGCCGGACCAAGGATGTGCTGGAGGTCGAGGAGGAGCTGTTGGAGTACGACTGCACCAGACTGCGAGAGCTCCAGATGGAGCTTCTAGAACTGTCGTTCGAGGATCAGTGGGGTCAGCATCTGTATCAAGTCCGAGAGGAGTTGAGGCAAGAGGCACTTCAGTTTGTCAAAGAGCAACGGATTCGATGTCTGCTCCAGGGATCTTGGTTTTCCAAGCCGCTACCACGCCGAGACACCAACCCGAGAGACGAGAACCTGAAGCGTCGCCTGTACACGCCGCGACCATGGCGCTTCGCTAAGCTCTCGCACAACCGCCGGTACCTACACTACGCCGACTTTGAGGTACAGACAGCACAAGATCCGGGTCTTGACATTTTGACGGAGAAGGTCGACCTCAGCACCATCAGCTCAGTCGTGTCCAACGTGTCAGCCTCCAACGAGGAAAGCCGCAGCGCGACTAGTAGTTCGACGCTCAAGAACAACGTGACGGTCAAATCGACAACCAAGATCACCATCTTCAGCTACGCCAATCCTGCCGAAGCTGCCAACGGCGGCGATGCCAAGGAGCAGGCCATCCTGACTCTCAACCCGGTCACGCACAGCCTGGCGTCGGAGTGGCTCGACGGTCTGCTGATGCTGCTCAACCAGGCCCCCATCACGGCCGAGACGAATAAGCTCGTGAATCTCGTGAGCGACTTTGGGCTCAAGATCAGGCTGCTCAACGTCAGGATCGAGGCTGCGTACACCGGGCCACCACCAGGTGCAGGAGTGATACCCAGCAGGGACGGTCTCGACGAAGACTACTTCTACGACGTGTGAGATTTTGTGCGATTGGAGGAGTTGGGACATGGGATGGGAAAGCGTCCGATTTCCTTTGTGATGCTTTTGTTTTGTGGTTTACATATACCCGCGTTCTTCTCCCGGCTCTACACCGGACCAGAGATGTAACGAATGGAGCCAAGACAGGGGGGAAACCTCTTTACCAGTTTTAATTTTTCCCCTGGCTTGGCTGCCTACAATGAAGCATAGCGAGCGGTCTAGTTGCGTCGTTAGGTAATCATGGGAAAGGCTTGGATTTGGTAGGCAACTTTTCTGAGAGCGCTACATAAATGATGTGCAGGTTTGGTGGGTGTGTTTATAGCTGTGCTGGCAGGGCTCCTTCTCTCTTTTTTCTGTCTGTCTCTCTTCATGTATGATCATGCCATCCAAAGCCGGGTCTTGACGACTTTGCTCGAGTATATTTCAATACCAAATTCCATAACTCATGAGTATGAATGAACCAGGACAGATGGTGAGTGTGTGCTCGTTGCACCTACTTCCCAACTCCAGCCATTTGAGGGGTTGGCTTTTAACCTTTACAAGACATGGTGTTTGTAGATAGGCCTTGCACAGATCTTACGATGGTAGATGTTTCATGGCGTAGTCAAAACCCCGGCATTTGCATCAAGACATTTTTACACTAACCTACATAAATCAACTTTGAAGACGTCCTTATAATCAATGCTGTAAGTCCATGTACGACACCCGAATTGTTTAGCCTACTCCTCTTGCTGCCCGCACTGGGTATCCCAAGATCGTCTTGGGCTATTCTCCTGTAATCTCTGCGGTGTAATATATAATCAAGGAAGTGGTGCTCGTCAGGTAAGCCCAGATATCCAGTGTGAAATCTGTACCTTCATTTGCGTATGAAACACGGGTCCAAACTATTTACTCTACGATCTCTCCAGTTTCGTCGTGTTCCGACTCTTCCATCCCGCGGCCCTCTCAAACCCATTCTTATGAAAATAAAAGTCCTCAAGCGCTTGTTTGGCCTCTTCGCTGCTCGTCACCACAAACGGACCATGCTGCACAACAGGCTGGTCTAGTGGTTCTCCCGCAACCAGAAGAATCCGCGCGGCCGAGATAGCCGTGTCTGGAACGCTCATCCGCACCACGTCTCCCTCTATCCCAAACACAACAGCCTGGAACTGCCGTGCCTCTTTACGGTCGTCCTCGGTGGAGGAGCTGACTTGCGTAGATCCTTCGACAACGTACGCCATCGCGTTCCAGCCCTGGGGAATCTGCTGCGAGATCTCGCCGCCCGGTTGAATTTGGATGTCGAGATACCATATCGGCGTATACGTCAGGTCCCTAACGCTATCGACCCCTCCAGAGACACCCGAGATGACTGTCACAGTAACCCGTCCGTCATCAAGTTGCGCAACAGGAATCTCTTTCGCCTTGAGATCGCGATACCTCGGCTCGCACATCTTCAAATACCGCGGCAGATCAACCCACAACTGTAATCCCGCCCCGCTACTGCCGTCCTCGGCGGGGATCGGTTGCCCAGAATGCATGATCTCTCTGCCGGCCGTCATGAACTGTAAGTCATCGGCGTGCAGAATCCCGCGGTGTCCCGCAAAGTCCTCGTGCTCTACGGACCCCTCGAGAATGTAGGAGACGGTCTCCTGGCCTCGGTGGGGGTGGTCGGGAAACCCTTGGCCAGTGGCGCCGTTCATGTGGTCGAGCATGAGGAAGGGGGGACGGGGTGCGGAGGTGGTTGCTGCCGATGGAGCGGCGGACGCGGGCGCCTGCGCCTTCGGATTGCTCTGAGGCGGTGAAGATTTTTTGTATTGTTCGGAGGGTCGACATGGTTTGTAAGTGGATGGTTGCCAATGTTGTAGGTGTTAGGGTGCTGATTAAAAAGAAGGTGATTTAAAACACACGGCTGTAGTGTCAGTTGTAAGAATGAATTATTTATTGAGTCTCTCGGCTTGAGTCTTCTTGGGACAGGCGAACGATACTTGTATGCGAACTTCTCACGATGATGCGCCATTGTAAATGTCGTATAAGTACTCCCCTAAGCCAATGTAGTTTGACAAACCCCACCCAGCTCATCGATTTGATCCATCTCACCTAACGCTTATGAATGCTTACAACATGCGCTCTGCATGCTATGTATCTTCACTAAGGTAATAGCTGATCACGAAGCTATGAACTTTGTCGCTGATGAGATTGAGCCTGCAGTATCCGTACGGACGGATATGGACAACGGACATTTAGGGACTGCCGGAAGGGGTCCCGCGCGGGATCTCCAGGCTAGTAGTGTGCGAGAGTGGGGCGGGGCGGCAAGGTGAATACTTAGAAACTGGGGTTCAAGAGCTCCAGCCGCGCGGGACGATGAGCTTCTTAAAGAACTCCTTGTCCATCAGCTTTCTACGCACAGCTAGTACAGATATAAATGCACAACATCTCTTCGTTTCTGATCAGCTTTGTTGTGAGTCTTTTGCAGTAACAAGGTTGAGATTGGTCGGTTGTAAGATGGTCGCCGGCGGTGGCCAGGCTCGCAGGACGCAGGGCGCAGGGCGCATGGCTGGCAGTGACATGCAGTCAATGTAGTCGAACTGGTTTCATTTTTGCCTGCTTTTAAATGATGATTCAATAAACGTGCCGTCGGCCTTGCGTTCTCAGGTATATCATACGGATAGGTACAGATAGTTCATCGTATCCGTAGGGCTGGAGAAGCTCCCCCGTCCCATCCACCCCCGGTCCCAGATAATGGCCCCCAATATCCACCCCTGCTTGGTCTGCTTTCTCAGCCCCCCTCAATATTGGAGCTTCAGCCGCGGGGCAGCTTCCCAAACCAACACTCAAACCCCCCTCCAGATTTGCCAAATATCAATAAACTACGACTTGAAATTGCGAAAGCTTCAGCCTATTGAGAGGTGAACAACGACAAAAGTAAACTCGACATTTCAAAGTCCATTGATCACAAACGAAGTAAAAAAAATTAAAAAAATTCGAGGTTGGCCGGTACCTGCCCCAGCATGACATCACCTTCCCGAAGCACCTACCGCCCCTGGAACTAAAGCTTCCCCGACAACCACGGACCAACGTCCTTTCTCCCTCCGGACAAAACGCACATGGTCCGCCGCCTCCCGTGGACGCATCCACACCTTAAAGTCGGCCACGCCGAAAGCGAAAGCGAAAGCAAAAGCAAACCACGGACGCGGGCTACCTTTACAGCCCTCGCAACCGCAACCACTCCCATCAGGAACACCATTGACGACACCGGAACCCGCGATATCAGCAGCTACTTCACAAAGACGACGAAAATGGTCTACCGTACCCCGCGCAGCGGCGGCGGTGGCGGTGGCAGCAGCAGAACGACGACACCCAAAACACCCAACGCCGGCGGCGGCAGGACATCGTCCCCCTCGCCCCCTCCCTCGCAAAAGAAGCGTCTCGACGGTCTGTTCCTCGAGGGGAACTGGTACTGCAACTGCCAGCCGCGCCAATCTGCCAAATTCCTACAAGTCAGCAAGAAGACGGCCAACAGGGGCCGGTGGTTCTACACGTGCGAGAAGAGGCGCGGCGGGTGCAATTTCTTCCTATGGGCTGAGGACGCGGAGAATAGGGCCGGGGCGGCGACCATGACGTTGCCGCCCATGCCGCAGGATGGTGCCGCTGCTGGTAATGCTGCCACGCCTCGGGGAACGACTGCTCAGACTCAGAGTCTGACGCCGGGTACGGCTTCCACCATCAAGCCTGCTATGAAAACAGCTCCTTCAGTGGCAATGGAGCCGCCTCCGTCGCCTACGGCGCAACGAAGCGCCGCGAAGCAAAAGTTCATGGATACATATTTCAAGAACCGACCTGTCCAGGTACCCGAGGAAGAACCAAACGATCTAATGGTCACAGACGAGGAAGCCGAGCTCACCACCCCCGCGCAGAGAAAGAGGAAAAGAGTCCTCTTTGACTTTGACTCTGACGACGGCGAGGGGCAGCAGCAGGGAGCTGGTGCCGATGAATACGGCCTAGACGACGTCTCCTCGGACGAGGAGAGGGCCATGACGGAGGCTATGGAACGCAGTGCCAAGAAGCTTCGCAATGATGGTGGCGGTCCGCCTTCCACCCCGGCGGCGCAGCGTACGATCCAGGACAGCGCGCTGCCTACGCCGCAGACCGTCAGCCGAACCCTCTTCCCCGACGCGAAGCGCCGCAAAGTCGACGAGGGTGTCGGTGAGATCTCACCCGGCAACGTATCCTTCTCGACGAGCACGTCGTCAGCAACACTCGGACGCTCATCAGCGGCAGCGGGGACGGCCCTGGCCTCCTCGCCGCCGACATCGACTCCCCAAGAAGAGCAACTCGACCCCACGGAAGAAGTCATGGCCCTACTCTGGGACCAGCAAAAAGGCGGCGGCGGCGTAGACGACGCCACCGCGCGCGCCGTCAAAGCCGTGCTGGGCCGGTTCGCGATGAAGGCGAAAGGCCTGGCGCGGGGCCGGGACACGGTGCGGACGGCGCTCAAGGCCAAGGACGAGAAGATTGCCGAGCTGCAGGAGCGGGTTGCGAGTCTCGAGGCCAGGGCGAGGACGCAGAGGGAGCAGATTGCGGATTTTAAGGCTGGTATGATGGACTTGTACTCGAAGCACTGAAGTCCTCGATGCCAGAATCGGTTTTTTTTTTCTTCTTCTTTGTGATACTATTTTGTGTTTTGGTTGTTACTTGGAAAAAAGATGTTTCTAAGGAGGGCAAAGAGGAAGGGGACGGACTCGATTTGGACTCGGATACAGTGAGCAAGCCGGCCAGCCAGCCAGCCACTTCATGAAATGCGGGCTCCCATGGTCTTATGTTGGATGAAGAAGGTATTTTGATGGATGGAGTTTGGAATTGAGGATACCCCCCGCACGCACGCCCTTATGTTATGGTCTATGGTAGTGAGTAGATAGCAAATATGAAGAAGATTGTTTTCTTCCTCACTACATCTCACCCCTTTTTTGTGACGAAGGCGCCCATTCGTGAACATTGGTCTTGTACTTGAATACCCAACCTACCATGTGGGACACCGTTGGTATCAGACACATCATGAGCCTCTTTGTCCGAGTACAACACTTATCTTCAAAGTGCTAGCTAAATAAAGTTACATGTGTTGGTGTCATTGCTTCTGCGTATGCTGAGTTGCCACGCGATTCTTATCGTCACTTCCCAAGGATCAGCCGACGGTAGAGAGGGAAGAAAGACAGAGAGCGTCTAGCAATATGAGAGCCAGAAAAAATATCACAGATAAATGTGTGATGTAAATCTTTTAACGAGTTCAAAGTAATTCAGGTATTGTAGACATGAAAACCATAAAACGCCAGAGTTTATGGGGCTTGATGCCCTCAAATGTGCTAAACCCATGGAAACCTTTCCCAACCCACCCATGTATTTGTGAACCCAAGTTACGAGCCAGGGGATATCATGCTTTCTCTAAAAGCTTACTGGGCAAGAACCTCGCGCAACATGACAAGGAAGTTTTCCTTGAGCTTGTGAACCTCGGACACGGGCGGCTTGGCCGGCTCGCCGGCGCTCCGACGGAGCCTATCGCGTCTCTTGGCCCGGCGACGGCGCTCGGCCTCGATAGGGTCGAGCTCGTCTTCCTCCTCGGCCTCGTCTTCGTCTTCGTCGTCGTCTTCATCATACGCCATGTCCTCCAAGTCCATCTTGTCAAGACCAAAGTCGGAAGAAGAGAAGCCAGTGGGGACCAGGTCGGGGCCTCCGTTGCCTTCAGCCGCCATCTTTTGTCGTGTCTTGTCGTGGTGCCACTTCTTCCTGGCTTCTTGCCACGAGATGAGTTGGTTAACCTCATCGATGACCTTGGCCTTATCAATGGCACCAGAGCTAACACCTCCCTCGAAGAGCGCATTGACATTCAAAGTGCCATTCTTGGGGCCCTTTCTCAGGAACTCCAAAATGTCCTCGATCCAGCCCATCAGCTGGTCAAACAAGCCGTTGTCATGGGTGTGGACCTCGTGCACAAACTTGTAAAAGTTGTGCTCGTGTCTCTGGCAGAGATCAATGAAGGCCTGCACGGTCTGATTCGGGTCTGCCGATGCGTCCTGCTCCTGGCATTTCTCAACAACCTACGTCGCGTGTTAGTGCTGTTACTATGGCGTCTCGCTAGATTACTTACCTGAATCATGTCGTCAATGAACACAGCAAAGTCAGTGACACTGCTGTAAACGTTTGCCGACTTGTAGACCCGAACCAAGGGTTCGTAGAAAATGCTGAAGAGGTCTCTGAACAGCTGAAGTGTGACCGGCTGCTCCACCAACTGCAGCATCATGGCCTTGTCGTGCTGTCTTGTGCAAAGCTTCAGGTACTGCTTGAGGTACGAGAACAGCTGAGCACCCTGCTTGAGTTCCTCGTCGATGTTCTCAACGGCGTTGTTGAAAGCAACATAGGCGTTGTAGAGTCGGCCAATCTGTTCCGAGGTAAGACCGGGCTCAAGGTAATCCGAGCGGAGGATCACGACAATCAAGTCGATATCCTCAGCAGCCGCCTCCTCCCTGATGGCAAATTTGATGTGCTCCTCGGCCTCGGTGTACATCTTGAGCTTGCCAGTGAAGGCCGCATCGCCGATCTTAGCGCCGAGCGTGTCGATAGACTTTTGGAAGCTCTTGATGCCGTCGTTGAGAGTCAAAGAGAAGATGCGTTGGAGGAGCGAACGGGTGCCGAAAGGCTGCGCCAGGAACACGTCCAAGACACCGGACATGACAGCAGCTGGGTTCGCAATTCTGATAACGTTCTTGATGACGGTGTAAGGAATGAGCGAGTGGATCCTCTTGGCTTGGGCGAAAAGCTCGGGAGAGTTGTCTTCAGCGAGGAACAGATGGTAGATCGTGGCTGCGACCTCTATCCGAAGCCACTCGGCAAACTTTCGGTACTGAATGCTCAGGTCCTGGATAGTCTCCTTTTCCTTGATCTCCTTGAACAGTGACGTAAGACCGTTGCGCTCGACAATCTCTTGACGGAACCTGAACACTGTTAGTACTTGGTAGGGGGAATACAGATGGCAGGATTACGCACTCCTCCATATAGATGTCGAGCTCGGCAGCGCGTTTCCTTGCTACCTCGTAAAACTTCTTCTGCTCTTCCACACGCATGGCATCGACTGCCTTTCTCCGCTCAATGTCGTCAATGTCGGCGTCCGTCGGCGTGATCTGGTCCCTAGTGAGGAACTCCTCCATGGCCTTGGTTTGCGCAATCTGGGGGTTCGAGAGCAATGTGCGGATGAATGCTCTGAGAGACACACGCTGGCTCTCACGCCACAGCGTCACCTGTTCGTTCTTCTTTCCTCCGAGGAATGGCAGGGGGCTCTTGGGCCTACTGTCCGTTGACACACGCGGTGAGTTGCGGCCCGAAGTGGTAGAGCTGGCACGTTTGTGGCCTACACTGGTTAACATCCGCCGCACAGCACGAGAATGAGGAGTACTCACCTAGCACCGACAACTTGGAATGGGGTTCCTTTTCGTGAGGAGGAAGACCAGTCATCATGGTCGAAACAGAAGACACCGAGGAGGCAGAAGAATCCGGGCTTCCACCTCCGGCCAGAGAAGAGAACAGACCAGTAGTCGTCGTATCCGACTTGTTCTTCTTCGGCAGAGTGGGCAGAACCTTGCCCGGCAATTCGAGGCGTAGTCTCTTATGTAACCTGGCGAAATCGCTATATCTTCTACCGATGAAGAACTCGAGCTCACCCTTTCGGTGGATGCGCATGATGAACTCCTAAACTCGGAGTTAGTGTCTGCTCTGCTCGCCCAGATAGAACCAGAAAGTGAAGTCAGCTTACAGCGTGCTTGTGAGACCGGATGGTCTTCCTCTCGGACGTGATTCGAACGGCAGCAATGTTCACATCCCAGCCATTGATATAGTTGCCTTCCGGCAACGCATGCATGACGCCCGTGTCGATGGCATTGCTGTCGACAACTTCAATCTCGGAAAAGCGTATCCTTTCCTCAAAGCCGGAGGAAGTCTTGCAGCCGGACACCATCATCAGCTCAACGAGCTTCTGACATTTTATAGCCAACTTGCGCCGCTTAGTCTCTTCGAGTCTGTCTTCGGAGGATGAGATGTTCTTCGTAGCAAAAGATTCTAGGAACTGTAGTTGGGGTGGTGGAACGAGTCAGCGAAGCTAGTCCGGAGGAAGTGGGCGTTTTGTAATGGCGCGGGGGAAGCCTTTTGCACTTACTACTTGGAGCTTGTCTTGCCAAAACTCCTTCTCCCTGGCCTTGTCGAGGAAAGGGAAATCGCGAACATGGTGTACAAAGATGTAGCGCAGGATGGGGAGCTCTGAGTCGAGGGGGGAGACCTCTCCAACGTCGGATTTGAAGGGGGCGCCGAATCGCTTGAGGGCCGTGGGGGAGTTGAGCTCCGAGATTTCGTACTTGACTTGCTCGGAAACGAGCTCGCGCTTGAGGTCTGGCAGGAGGATGTTAGCATATTTTCCCTCTTCTTGTATCATGTCGGAAATGACGGGCGGGCTTACAATGCTCTTGCTTTCCCGTCAGGGACTGGCCCGGCGGGGGAATAGACATGTTGCTCTTTGAACGAAGGGGAAGCTCAGTCCTTGTGACCGGGGCCTGGGCCGGGTCTACAGCAGCGCCATTCTGCGGTTGTTCTTGGGATGTCGAAGCCATCAGCGTAGTTGCTTTCTTGTTTCGTGTTGTTTGAACCGTTCTCGGGGCTGGCAAGGTCTGTAGGAATGCCCTCGTTGTTTGGTGCCAAGATCGTGGGAGAGAGAAGAGAAAGGTGTTGCGGATTTGCGGAAGTAAGAAAGGGTCGAAAGGGTCGAGAGAAGGTGGGCAAGCTGACTGGCGTCAGAGCAACAGCTGGGGACCCGCGACGTAATAATCAATTTACGGACGGTACAGCGGTACGGGGGGGGGGGGCTAGGTGACTGAGGTGGTGACTGGGTACTTGGGGGCTGGCAGGGTAAGTACCTTGGGCTGGGCACGAGCCGGGTCTCAATAGTGTAGGTAGGGCGCGCGGCAGATCCCAATGGGTACCTAGGAGTGCTAGGTAAGTTATGGTCGCAGGGCAGGGAGCGGGCCCAGATCGCAGTGGGGGCGCAGGCGGTAGGTAGGCGGTAGGGTTGCTGTACGTAACGCGCGTATGGCGGGGTAGTTACAGGCGCTGCCCACTATGGTACTGCGGTGCAGCTCTCGCAGCAGTGAATACCTAGGTAGACGGAGATACTTGGTCTGGTACTAGACAACCTGAGGTGAATGTACCTTGCCCGCCAAAAGTCAATGCTGTCAGGTGCTCGTCGCGAGGCCCTGTTGGGTTCGAGGAAGGGGAGCCCGGTTGAAGCCTTTTTTTTAGTCCCAGCCCCAAACCGCCTAAACTTTTCTTCACTCGTTACCCTCGCCGTCTTTGGTGTCTGGTATTATCAATCTCATGGGCCCAGAGCCCTCCTTTTCTTGGTCTTGCCTCAGATGCTTCCCCTCCTTGACCCTTCTAGATGTTAATAGCTCTTGCCAACAACTGGAAGCTGGGTGGCATCAAGGGTATGGCGGGAGCTCGGCAGGTTACGTAGCGCCTAACAGGTTGGATGAGACGAGACGGAATGAGCTTAGAGCTCGGTGTAGCTAAGCTAAGATCTGATTGGGCGTTGAAGGGGGAGCGCGTAGGTGTGTGCAGTGCGTCAGGTCAGCTGTGAGGCGAAGGAGGATGGATGGGAGGGGAGGGGATAGATCGGGATGTTTTTTTAATTCTTTCTCATGTCGCGAGTCGCCTCAAAAAGGCTCAAGCCCGGCCGGGACGGACGTTGGATATCCTTAGCACGGAGAGACGGCACGCAAGCGTCGTTTGGCGGGGTGAGGGAAAACAGTAAAACTTGACAAAAGCAGATAAAACGAGGCAGGGGTCGTTTCTAAAAAAGCAAGGAACCATCTTCCGTAACACGCGGAAGTACCTCCAAAAAAAAATCACAGTCCCCAATCCTCGTTTACTTGTGCGCCCAACTTTGTGTAAACTCTGTGAACAGACAGACAGACTTCAGTTCAGAGTTCAGGGTCCTGTTGCCGGTGCCTGACAGCGATGCGAAGCAAAGCCGAAGTGACGCGAAGTTTGGAGACGCGAGATTTGGAGGTGCGAATAAGAACGAACGAAGACGAAGAAGAAGCTCACAGCACGGCAGGGATCAATCCGTTCCATGTTGCTGTCACTGCGCAGCAACCTGAGGTGTACTTTTCGAAAAAGACAAGACTTTCCGCTCCCGCATGCCTTCCATGTTAGTCACCGCTGGCGCTGGGTGGAAGTCCGGGATGAATAGGGAACTGTCCGGTCCCGCCCACCTTGTATCTCCGGGCTTGCTGATAGGTAGGTATTCTTCGCTGACGATCTGCTGCGCCTGAACTGTGTGCTGCGTCGAATTATTCCCAATTGTTTCTCTCCGAGGCCCAAACAGCCCAGCCACACCGCAGCGGGCCAAGCCACCCTTGCGCAATACCTTAAAACATCTCAAGACCACGACTCGAGAGCAGAGACACCAGAATGACGCCGAGAATCGTGGCGGTGACTATGACATGTTGTGGAGGCAATACTACTGTATTGGATCTGATGATGATGATGGGAAAAGCTGAGCGCTGGCTGGGCTGGATATCTGGGCAAGGTGTAGGTGGGGCAGCTCCGAGATGTGAAGGAGCTGCCTCACGTGACCCACCTGCACCTGCCACACATGTCTCTCCATGTTGTCGAAAATTGGCCATGGGATGCATGACGTCGTGGGGCAGCACACCTGCATGGCCTTAACGGATACCTTCCCTCTTCTCATCCACCCCAGCGATGCGGAGCCGAGTGCCGAGACCAGACACAAGAGACACCATACACAACGGTAGAAACGGACGCAACGCCCACTGAGCTTCTTCACCAAGCTGCGCAGCCGCCATTTCCTCGACACGCCTCACACACACTTCAGCCACAAACAGCTCTTCAACTTTCCTGGTCCATCATCTTATCTCAACTCTGGGCAACCACCACGCGTCCACTCTTGGCCGTGCCTTTGCTTGCCATTTCCTTGTCTAAACCAACGTCACGATTCACACGCAATGCACTGGACCCGCAAAGCAAGCAAGTAATAATACAGAATATAGTCATCAGGTTGCAGAAGGCGAACGAACATGACTTGCAGAAGTTGCACCTCGCAGCACATCATTCGTTGAAACGAACAAACGCCTTGCCCCTCCCCCAAGTCAACAAGTCATGAGCAACTACCTAGTAGGTAACCCCACCAGAGAACACATTTGTTGTCAACTCAGTCATCAGCCTCGAAGCTGTGCAAAAGAGCCAAGGCCGCAGACGCGCAATCATTGTCGCCATCAGCTTCCTCGGTGCTTGGCTCCGGACGAGACCGAATCGCCTTATGGGCAATCGACGTCTAGCGCCGCCCACCTCACCACGTACCTTACGTATCCGCTACGACAAATGGTACGGAGACTCTTCGTGAGATTCTACGGCCCTTTTTTAGGTGACTTTTTGTTCCCATCTATACCCGCAGTATCCACTCGCTGGGAGACCACAAACGTTGCCGTGGCCGTGCTTGTCTCTTGATGCACAATAATCGCCAACTACGGATAGCCCGTGGCTCGGTTCGCCAAAAGACGGGAGTTGGTTCTGTTTCCCTATCTGTTTCCCACCCGCGCCAAACTCTTTTGGCGCCGTAATACGACGGAAGCATGGAATGTTTGGACGGGCTTCTGGAACCCGCGGCCTGCGGACACCCGCCCGGACGATCTTCCTTAGTGTGACGAACTACCAAATTTCCAAATTAGCTTTACTTTTCCCACGCTGCCATGCTGCGAGGAAATAGGTAGACCGGCACAGCAGTAGAACACCAGAAGACAGAGACAAACATAAAAAGTCCGTTTCCATATGCACCCAACCCTTGCGTCCACCCGGCTACGGTGCCGGGAAGCCCAGGAGTTCAAGGACGCTGTATCCGTAGACGCACGGGTGTGGGGCTCCCACCGTCGGGATTCGGAGCCGGGGGGCGCCCATTCGGTGATCGTCCAGGCCCTAAACAACATGCATAATTTCTCATTTAAGCAATCACCTCGGCAAGCCCGATTTCGTACGGCTGCCGGCGGGCGGGATGTCACATCGCTTCGGGACATCGCCGGCCTGTGGTTTCTCTTCTAACAACTACCCATCTGATGACGGCAGATTGTCTTTTGCGATTTGATAATTTGAATGACTGGTGACTGCTTGTGAATTTGTAGGGTCACACTTTTCGTCTTACGTATTTACGTTTCTTGAGGCGAAAGGGTATTCGTACGAATTTGTCATGGTTGTTGTAAGAGTACTCGTGTCGTACTCACTAATAACCCCGGGCATCTAGGTGGTACAGTACAGTCATGGGCTCACTCATTAGATAGATGAAGCCAATGTATGGCTAATGCGAGCAAAGCGGTGAGACTCAGGCGAAAAGTGCCTATTGAACGACGTGCAAGTTCATATCAACTCAATGGTACCAGGAAAATCCCCGGTATATCGGTATATCATCATTGAATAGTTACACCTTCAAAATCTCACCGTGTATCACGCCTTATGAAGATTTTCCATGACGGAATACAACTGAGCCTTTGTTTTGAACTTGCCTATGAGCATATGACATGTATTACCGACCGTGGCAGGCCCCTCAACAAGATCGCCAGTCTCCTTGTAAGGAATGAATAGAAGTTGACGCTGGCCATGTTGTCTACTTAAACGTCAGCCTTTCACACACTTTCGGGAGACGAGCTACTCTATTGCATGTTCAAAAATAAGGCACACATCAAAGCTCTCCTTCCATTAGGATCTCAGTCGGCTGCTCGTCTCATTCGGTATTGATCACTTTATATATGCCAAAATGAGTTGCCATAAGACAATTTACACTAAGCCCCGATTCTCTGATATAATCGATGGAGAAGCTACCCTGAAGAAATATCCCTTTGTGTGTTCTTGCAAGTGATCAGTCGCAACTACTGCACCAGGCATCTCCTAATCCGATGGTGACAGAATAAACGAATAATTTACCTACAGACCATACACAGCCAGCGACTGTGTGGCTCCTTCCTAACAAGGCATTGTTGTTTTCACCGCCTGGTTTCTTCTCTGAAGGGCGATCCCTTTCATCGAGCCACTGAATGAATCAAGTCATAAACGTACGGTCTCCCTGGGAACGCCAATCTGGTGACGTCCAGAGACTGACATCCGTCGAGTCTAGTGTGAGCACTTCAACTACACGTCAAGTTCCCTGACTGCCATATATCCTTCATCTTTCCATAGTTATAATACCTGTATTTGCATCGTATGAGGTCAGCTATGAGTTAAACAGAAGTCGTTGGCAAAGGTGGATCATAAATAAGTAATCGATCATCCATCGCATTCTGTCATGATCACATACAGGGGTAATCGTATGTCTAGTATTTCGGCAGGGAAAAACATCCTGCCCTCAACAGCGTCAAGGATAAAGCTCAAAGAGGGACTTATAGAGGCGGGCCGCCCCTCGTATGCTCGCCGAGTTCACTGAAGAACCGTCTTGTCGGGGTGAGACCCCCTGATTGCAGGCAGGCAGGCAAGATGAAGTACATCTCAATCACAAACGGAGAAGAATATGTCTAGGCACAATACATCATGTCCACGTGCGTGAGAACCC